GTTGTGATCCCTTTGGCGAAAAAGAAGACGACAACGTAATGATGGCAATCTTAAATGGCATATTTGTCAGTCACAGCCTGTTAGCCAATTATCTTTTGAATTAGATCGGGTGATTTGCTATTGCCGTTTTGTGTGTTGGTTATACTTATTTTAATTGAGCTGTTTCTGAGCAAGTCCCAGAAAAGCACGGCTACTCCTGATTTTTAAAGCGTGTCACAGATTTAAATCTAATATGTTGGCTGTCATTGTTTGAAATGAAGTTTTTAAGTACCATTCGTGAAATTTAATTTGTTCACGTGTAAAATAACAAGATATGGAATATAGGAAAATACAAAACAGTTCAGTTGTAACTAACCAATCGAGCAATCACCCATCGTTGAAATGCAAACAACATGGTTTCTTTATCTGATTTTCTCCCCTTACTTCCCCTCTCCACCACTGCAGGTCGGGGATCGAGAAAAGAATACACCTGAAGTTACAGACTACATTGATCGTTTGAGACGTCTTATGAGGGGACCCCTTGTAGTATTGGGGATTTGCTTGTGTGCCTCTACTTGGGGTAACAAACGAGACCAAAATAAATCTGCTGCGCCCATTGCAATATTTGGGATATTATATTTTCTCTCATCTATTAACTATTTTTTATTTCTTATCGCCTTACTTGGCAATAATTATCGCAACAACTGGCTAACCCGGTGTAGTAAGTCCCATTTGAACAGATGAAACACTGTGCTGGTTGCCTTCGGCATGGTATTTTATTGAGGTAGCACTTCATAGTCGGTTTCTGCTTTTTTGCAAGGGGGAAAATAAACCAACACACCTCTCCAGCACATACGGGTACATTACACACACGGAGGAACGTCTATGAATGACTTGAGCTTTTATTGGACGCTAAACTTAATGAAACAAAAACTCACTCGTGTGTGGTGACATTGTGATATGTTTTATACTTGCTTGATGCCACAGTTGGAACGGATTTTGTTATTTTCCATTTTATCAATATCCCGAAAAATCATTTTAAGAATCACCCGGTCCAATGAATCACAGAAAAGTGTATTGAAAATGATTATACCAGTCAAGATATCTACGGTTAAAACAATAATTGGAAATTGGATATAATGTTGCATCATATCTCAGTGATTCATTCCCACCTCAACCGAGAAAGGCATTAATATTGATATAGAGGTACAAACAAAGTATGCATTGTCTACACCTTACATAATGTGTTCAGATTTCTTTGTACAAAAGTATGAAATCAATAACACTACCGAACAATGTCATTCTGTACAGTATATATATTTATCCGCAACGGAAAGGCTTAATAATAAATCTGCACAATGCTATCCTACCTGTTACGTTGGCTTACATTTTACGAATGGAAGATCAACTTTATTGTCATGCTTGAGAACGACCATTTTACAGTCGAACGTTTTATAGTTGAATGCATTGACTTCAAGCGAATGCGGGATGTATTTTGTAATGTACCAACTATATTAACATATTTGATATAGTTTCTATGTTATCAATATTCGAGTATCTGCACTTCATTGACCTTTATTATACGATATGATATATACCCTACAACAAATTATTTCGTTATTGATTTAGTTTTGCATCTTTTACATATTTTGTTTTTATTTGATGTATTCCTATTTGTTAACGTCTCATTTCACAGTGTTGTTTGGCTTGAAATGTCCTTAATGATCACACACACACACAAACAAAACAAAACAGTTGTTTAGGAAGGCGAACACATTAGTAAGTGTAAACAATCAATATCACATTGTGAAGAATTTATATTTTCTTCAAAATGTTTACGTACATTTTGTAGAATAAGAAGTGCTCAAGGTAAGCCATTAAAAAAAAGCCTAAAATTGTATACCTGTATATATAGTAAAAAATAATTCGGAGATATTGAACGGTTCTTGTCAAAATAATCCTAACAATGCTATAATTTAGTTTTGCATCTTTTACATATTTTGTTTTTATTTGATGTATTCCTATTTGTTAACGTCTCATTTCACAGTGTTGTTTGGCTTGAAATGTCCTTAATGATCACACACACACACACAAAACAAAACAAAATTGTTGTTTAGGAAGGCAAACACATTAGTAAGTGTAAACAATCAATATCACATTGTGAAGAATTTTTGTTTTCTTCGAAATGTCAACGTACATTTTGTAGAATGAGAAGTACTCAAGGTAAGCCATTCAAAAAAGAAGCCTAAGATTGTATATATATATAGTAAAATATAAAGAATCCTAACAAATCCTATCGAAGAAATACATATTTAACCGTATTTATACCAAAACCTCCTGTATGCATGTACATGTAGGTTACTTATCAAGGAGAATGCCGTTCTATAAGAAATATAAAAAAGACATTTAACATAAAGAACCAGCAATCCAACAGCTCATTGGTTGCAACTATGTTAAACAAAGTTTCCTAGTTATCTCTCTAGAGAACAGTTATAAACTTACTTATTAGAAAGCTTTTTAACATTGAAAGAAATTATTATATTACCACCGTAAATATATATAAATGTTTATAATATGAATTTCTTATGAGGATGTTTTCATTTGCTTATTAAGAAACTACGTTCGTTGTCTGGAGCGTTAGTCATTAATACATAACACTACATATTGTATATGATAGATGTTTTTGTGACACATTTTATATATAGTTACATATCTATATTTCCAAAATTGAATTTGATCTTAACCATTGGGAATCAAGAGAAGAAATAATGGCATTGGCGTAAGTCCCAAGAGGATTTAATTAAAAATTGTTTATATATGTTTGATATTAAGAATGCCTGTGGGCATGCTAGAACAATGTACAAGTTATTGATTGCAATTCGTGCTTAGTTCAGCCTTCTCATTTTTTGCTGTTACTATAACAATAGATAGAAGTCACAATGAAGATAAAAGGGAGGTAACAAAAACCTAAACGAGACCCTATAGAACAGAAATCACGGTTATGACTTTTACAGGAAAAGGCTATTTTGCTTGCCTGTCATAAATAACATACATAGGCTGGAACTGTGTCCTTCACTGTTCCACCATGATCTCATTTATTTCAAATAAGCACATTTTACTCCCGGTGTATATCAATTTTATCACTGCCTTGCTGTATATTTAGCTATGTCTATAGATAAAGTAGACAAAATTTTACGACGTTGATGGTACGAGATTTCTTAAAAGGAGGGTTTATTTTATGAGGCAATCTTTTTGCTTCAGCGTCCTTCCATAAACAATATGTATACTCCTCTTGTCATTCCTTAAAACCCACTGTCCCTTGAGTATTCACATTTTACTTTCTTCTTCTAGTCTATAAATATCTTCCAAGGTCATTTTACATATCGTTCTTATTGCACTGATCATACTACTGTTGGTATACAATTACAATACATTACAACAAATCCAGGTATATTAGATTTGTTTGAAATAATATGCTGGTCTCTGCATAGAAATGTAAATGGATTCGGTAGTGTTAGTCAGACAATGAAAAAAAAAAACCGTATGATTAACAAACTGACAATTTGACCCTCATCATTTATTGTTATGGATTTGTAGCAATATATTTCACAATAAACATTTATTCTGTACAAAAGATAAGTGACATTATATTTACCAACACATTAACCTGTTAATTCCGCATACATTGAAAAAAAGCTGTTTACACTCTGGTGCAGATAGAGTGAGAAAGTCAACGCTTAAATTTGAGTTCCCTCCCTTAGAAGCAATTATATGCATGGTTCGTTATATGTTTTAATATAAAATTTAATAGGTCAGTATTAGTGTTTACTACGCAATTGTTCTCTAATTATTTTAAATCATGTATCATAATTATTCGAATTTTATTTTATGATATTTTTGTTTTATTTGCAAGATCTTTAATCAGCTCCATTTGATAAGGAAAAAGTATCAAATTTAGAAATGAATGATTTGTTTGATCATTTTTATTTCCTATTATTTATTTGTTGACCGTTTTTAAGTTCAGTATTCAGTTGCCAACATCTAAACCTAAATGTACAATATGTACAGCGAATGCAATGCTACAATTAGCTTTCATTTTGATTTATTTGTACTGCTCTTCTTATACCTTTGGTTTCGTACTATCACGTTTAGTTTCGTACGATTGGCGATTTAATTGAAATAAACTCACACCCACGATATAATCCCATTACAATGTCATTATTTTACTGCTGATGATATCAATGAGTTTGCCGCTGTATGGAATAACAAATTAATTACAAACAGAAACAACACGTTTTGATATTGAGACGCTACACCATTTGCCATAGGAAGCAAAGGACATGACATATCAGCACCAATGTATGTAAATACTGCTCACAGACTGTTCCGGACAATGTTCCTCCGCTATGAGGGAGAATGTATCATAACAGCAAATTGAAGTACACAATATATATGTGTATATAAATAAACATGTTAAAGGCGAACTCTATACACTTAGAAAATATCGATTTTGCAAGTGAAGGCCGACAGTCCTGGTCGAAAAGATCCCGGTATGCAGTTTTCAATATGAAAATATTATAGCTAAATATAGAGTATGTATGTATCAGTCCAAATGTTTTTTTTATCTTATAAATATATTTGTACAGACCAAAGGTGTTGGTTTGTTTTCTCAAGAAATTTTAAGTCAGTTATCCCCCTATAAATAAACAATTTAATGTCAGTTATCCCCCTTTGATTAAACAACTAAGACACACAAAATGCATATCATTGTTCAAATTCCAAAGGGACTGTTAAGAAGAGGTTGTTATAATCTATCAAGATCCCACTTGTTATTATTATTCGATCTTCTTCTATTCATTATAGATAGTAGAACAAATGTCTTGAATCGTCCATCGTGTTCAGATTTTAATCTTTTACTTTTTCTCCAGTGGTTAAACAATGGCATTAGTGTAGGATATAGATATTGCTGCTGATACAAAAAAACACAACGAAATTTAAAATTGTTAAAATAATTTATTGATATAAAAAGAAACTGTACGTGCCACTATACAAACCAAATAAGGTAAAATGTGTACAAATATTAACGCTTTCTCAAATAAAACATTTTCACAATTAACAAATATTTAACAATGGATTTTCAATTGATAAGCATTCAGATTTCTCCATATCTTCAACAGAAATATAGTTTCAAAAGTTAGACATCTATCAAAGAAAATTAAAACCGACATATGGACAATTTATCGTGAAAGTGGAAATTTCGACATATGGACAATTTATCGTGAAAGAGGAAATTTCGACATATGGACAATTTATCGTGAAAGAGGAAATTTCGACACATGGACAATTTATCGTGAAACTGGAAATTTCGACACATGGACAATATATCGTTAAAGTGGAAATTTCGACACATGAACAATTTATCGTGAAACTGGAAATTTCGACATATTGACAATTTATCTTGAAAGTGGAAATTTCGACATAGTGACAATTTATCTTGAAAGTGGAAATTTCGTGTTGGCAATAGTTGTGATATATATATATTTTCTATATAGGAATGAATATCGGTGTGTGAATATTTATCGCTAATTAACTCAACGCGAATTTATGCGAAAATTTCCATTTTTGCGTATCAACAGTATTAAAAGGAAAGATACAGTTTTGAGTGAAACACAAGCACGACCTGATGTTTTATAATAATATATCTATTAAAAGTTACATATTTACAAAAACAAATGTACAGGAATAATCAATTTCAACAAGAAAGTTTCATTGATTTTACAGATTTTTTTACCGTACAGCGTATAAAATAGTTTTGTTACCATAATGTCAAGGTAAACAATGATGTATTTAACTTAAATGATTTTATATATGCTCCATGTGTTTGTACAGGGATGATTGTGCATTGATATGAGCTATTAACATATAATTTCGTAATATTTTCACACTTACATACATTCAAATTGTAGTCAATTCATTTATATCGATCGACACTCTTCTTCACGCTTATTCCGGACATGCTTTCATATGTACTTGCTTTCGAGTTCCATCTATTCCTTGATTTAATTTATAATTTCTTAAGAAAAACAAAAAATACAGACACTAAATAATTTAAATTAGTTTATCAATATTATGATAAATTTCTTTTTCTCGTGTTTTTCAGTGAAGTGTACCACCGTTAGCGTTTTAGATTACAAACCAAAAAATATAGAATAAATGAAGTGAACAATCCCAAAACAAACCTGTGTATCTTTATTGCAGCTTTTTAACGCATGCAAGCATGAACATCGATTTGATTGCACTTCAGTAGGCATGGCAACCTCTCCCGATCAACATATAGTTAGATTTTAACGTCATACACGTGGAAGCCACGCCTCCATTGACACTGTTATATAACTGTCTGCTCCGGCTTCGTACTTGGTGATCCTTCAAATGTCGTCAGCTGTTCTGGAGGATTATAGGTGTACTGTAAATATAAAAATACACAACACATCTGGAGATTAACTGAACATGTGTTATTATTAAGCCGTAATATGTTATTGTTAGGAATAATCCCTTATGATCTATTTTCATAGATAAACTATTCTGCTATCAATGCATGCATAAGCGTTACATACTTTATATACATAAATGTTATAAATTAATGTAATGTTAAAAATACATATAAAAAATGTTATAAATATATATACACGTAAACGTTATGCATAATGCGGAAATATTACTATATCATCACCTTCTCAGTCAAGGAAATAATAATCATTGATATTGTTGGTTTGATCTTACCAAGGTAAACAACTCTTAAATCAATTAATTTATGACGTTGGGGAACATAATTCGAATGAATTCTTGTTTAAAAAAACAATAGTCATGCGTTTAAATATATATATATATATATACGCACATCGACAAACAACACTTAAGAGATGAAACTAAACGAATAGGAAACATACATCACATCGCATGGCTGAACTCTACATCAATCAGTTGGTTACGAACTAACTTGATATGATAGTACTAGTTTACTTAAACAATCTCAAACAAATAGTTTATTACTGTTTAGATTATCTTATTTTTTGTCGTACAATTAATTCTACAAATCTACATTCATATTGAACTAAGAAATTGTTTCAAAGTTTCTGTAATGGTTCTTACGGTCAAACAAAATTACAAAATAATATCTGAAACCAGTGCAATATAATAAAAAATAAAGATGGTGAGTTGGTGTATTGGTTTTCTGTTCTAAAGACTTGTATAATCCTGTCTACATTTAAAAACTTTAACGAGCATGTTTAAATGTTTCCATACACATCTAAATTATGCCGAATCCAACTTCATTATCAACTAAGTTACATGTATATTTTTGAATTTAATTTTATGACAAACATATTCAAGTTCGATATCGATTTTTTAAGGCAGGCTTGCCAATGATCACATCGGAAAGAACAATCACAAAATTATAAACTTAAGTGCAATATCTGGAATGGACCGTAGCGTTATTTGTGACTTCCTAAATATAATTGTTTTGTGATGTCATGAATGCAATATATTCCGACTTGCTATCAAAGATACCAAACAATTCTTAGATTGTCTTTATTTTTAATATTTGCATCATCATTTTTTCAAATATACATGTATGGCTCGAGTGATCATGTGAATAAAAGTGATGTTTATTTTTACAAATAGGATTTTACAGCCATCGTTTATGAAAACATGTCCCTATAAAATTTCAAGTAAATATGTCACTTCACTAAGCTTATGAAGCTTGTCCAAAGAGGTAGTTGGCATGAATTTATGTTCATGCTTAAACATTGGATTTCTGCTCGTAATAACTTTAGTATAACTTGCTAAAATAATGTACCGTGGTCTAAAAGTCAAGTTTATACATCGACAAAAGAGTTCGGCTTTATGTCTATCCACAATTCTTCCCATTTGTTTCCTTAAGTTTCAAAACCGGAACAAAATTGGCTTAAGCACAAAAGAGGTTTTTACCATGCGTACCATTTCGTGAAAACAAGTCTCGGAGTGTTTACAATGAAAGCATACTAGCTAAACAAAGAGCAAACACATGCGTAGTGACATATATACAATGCTTACAATTACCCCCGAATTCTCATGTTCCGTGTACCCTGCGGCCTTGAGAACCTCCAGTGGGTCCTTTTTAACTATTTTGACAGTACTGCCAGGTTTATACTGTTTCTGTTGCTATTAAATATACAAAGTTTTAATTACTAATTTCATTAATGTGCATCAAAAAGGGAAACAACCTGTCAAACCAGAACAGTATTAGATATTCAAATTAAACATTGTAATCTTATATTCTTATATCACACTTTCAGATGTGAATGTTACTTCTACCCTATAGTATGACACAATTTTGTTTTCGTGAAATGAATATTATCTTTGTCAGATTGTTATGTATAGAAACATATATAACGCAAAGATGCAAATCTGATCACGTAAAACCCATATTTCAACCTTCAATTCTGTTTGAAATGTTGAAAAAGTCGATATATACCGCTAGATAGATTACGTTTTATATAGTAAAATGCTTTTATAGACTCAAATGACAACATGTTTGCGATATGTATTTTACGTATTTTGTTTTAATTCAAATTGTCATTTCGTTTGTAATTCAGGTACGTTACTGAAAGGATGACAATGATAAAACATATTTAACTTATATGTGTGTGTGTGTGTGTGATTAGTTTTAATTCAAAAATGTTTTCCTGAAATCATTTCAAAAGAAAAAGTGCACAGTAACCAATACGTTAGTACACTGTAGCTATTCTCGCGGGGCACCATCTTACAGAGATCTAATAGGTAACATAAGGGATAACTCTCTTCAGGATCGACAAAACATATTTTTTCTTCCAGCTCCGCGTTTGAAAAATGCACGTGTCTCAGATGGAACACACATGTGGATTACATGTATTTCACATGGGTGCACTCAGTGACCTTTACCTGTTATAAAGTTACAATCAGGTGACGGAGTTTTATTATGACGTTGCAACTGAAAACGTAACAAAACCTCGTTTAATTGACTGTGGCATCATTGCCGACGACAAGTGACACTGCGTTGAGAACATACGAATTGTTGTCTAAGCTTGCACTGAAGGTCTTGCATTGATCTTTAAATTTGAGGTGTACAATTTTGTTCTTTATAAATATGGCCTTAGTTTATGTATACGTTATCTAGAACTTGTTTGCTGTATGTTTAGTGTTGCATGTCCTGTTTCACCAACTTTAAGGTCAATAAGTGAGAGAAAAGAGTCAACCATTATGTAGGTATGTTGGATATGGATGTTCTACTCCAAGATGCAGAATTCGGTGTCAGAACCTCGGTGAAGCCTCGGTTCTACCCCAAGTTCTATACACCTCGGGTAGAGTATCCGTATTCGACAAACCTTCATATACTATAGCCTCTATTAATACAAATGTATAATCATAATACCATAGAGTAGCACGCCCAAAAAAACCAAAACAGGCAAATCACAGTGAAGTTCTGTCTTACAGATAACAATAAGTGTTACGTTAAGTGCATAGTATACTTATGTTATGTAATAGATATCATAAAATGTGACCTGCCTTTTTCCTTTTACGGTGTCTGTGAAGCAAGTATTCTAATAACGCCATCAGCATAGAGAGGACTAATCCGCCAATGAGAATATGGAATATTCCAGATACATTACTTAGAGTCAAGGCACTTTTAACCCCATCCTGTTACAGTGGATAAAAGAATGAAGTATAAGAAAGTTATGATAATAGTTATAAAACATATTGTTCAAGTTTTTTACAACCTAGCAACGTATCAAGTGATAGTAGAAATGTAGGAAATACTGAAACTTTTATATATATTGTATAAGTCAATGCAATGTTCACTATATAAACTATTACATGATATAACCTTGAAATTGTAAACATATATATTGTACACCCAATACATTGTATACATGTTTATGTTGTTAACAGCTATACATTTTAAACAACAATGAATTGTATACAAATATAAATAGTTAAACATAAATGTACATTATAAACATCAGTATCCTGCAAAATGTGGAACAAAAGGTATTTTAAGGACGTGATCCTAAATGGTTGTCCTGTATGCGATACATGTCTTTAGAAAGGTTGGGGCATACAAACTTTGATTTCAAACTCCAATGTTGGCGAGGCCGGATGGAAATACTATAGATGTTTTGCTTATTTATGTAATGTCATCATTGAAAAAAACATCAACCAATTTTGATTAAGTTATGGCAACGATTGTTCCAAATATTATATTTGCTATGTAGTTTTCGATGGATGTTCTTATTTATTTTGATCTGCATACCATTGTGTTCTGCATATTAATGTTTTAAGTTTTCTGAATATCATCGTGTTATGTGTTCTGAATATATCCTTGTGTTATGTGTTTTGAATATAATCGTGTTTATGTTCTGAATATCATTTTGTATTATGTTCTGAATATCATTGTGTATTATGTTCTGAATGTAATTAATTGTATATTATGTTCTGAATATCATTGTGTATTATGTTCTGAATATCACTGTGTATAATGTTCTGAATATCCCTGTGTATAATGTTCTGAATATCCCTGTGTATTATGTTCTGAATATCACTGTGTATTATATTCTGAATATCACTGTGTAATCTGTTCTGAATATTATGGCGTGATATGTTCTGAATATCATTATGTAATGTGTTCTAAATATCATTGTGTCATTTATTCTGAATTTCATTGTGTTATATGTTTTGGATATTATTGTGTATTGTATGTGTTCTAAATATCATGTGTAATGTGTTCTGAATAGAATCGTGTAACGTGTTCGAAATATCACTGTATTATGTATTCTGAATATCATTGTGTTATAATGTTTTGCATGACAACTATAACACTTTTTGTATTGTTACTATGATAGACATCTACTTATTATGCAGATAAGAAATACATACCTTAGAATTAATCGCTCCACATTCTCCCTTGTCATACCACCATTTCTGCTCCAGTTTATGAAGCTCGCCTTCCTCCCGAAGTCTCAGTACCACAAGATTTAACTTTTTTCTACCAGCATGAATATCAACAAGAAAAAAACACAACATAGAAAAGTATTAATTGTGATTTTGTTATAAGAAAAAAAAATTGTTGTTGTTTCAATAAAGTGTATTACTTTTGTCAACCTATTCTGAAACTCTTCTTAGAAACATTTATTTTTTCTCTTCACTGTATATCTTAAAGAAAGAAACAAAAACGTTTATCATGTATTTCAGTAGTACAATGTAAGTATAAACACTACAAATGCTGCTGTGAGTAGAGAGACCAGGCCCCGTATTCATGGATTCATAAATAATTCTATTTAGTTAATGATTTGGAAAAACATTGACGAGACTTAAAACCAAATACTGTTCCGATATTTACATTTGACTTTTTTATATTTTGGCACGATTTGAGAATGGTTTCATGAATACGGTCCAAGAAATATGCTGAAGTGATCGCTGCGCTATTGCAATGATCATTACAATGATTACCACTGGCAAATACCTGGCAGTTGAATTCAAACTTAATACGATATCCGATGTTTAGTTATCACAAATATAATATTAGACATCATTTTGTTCAAAGATATAATCCTACAGTTTTGTATAGGATTGTAGACAAAAAAATATAGCAGCGAATAATTATGTGTTTACAACTGTATTGTGATATCTTTCTTTTATTGAAAAGGGTAGAATGTATCAGTTTATTTGTCCCTTTCTTAAGTGTGTAAATAGTATCTGCCGCTGTCCATATCCTGTAGAACAAATCAAATTAAAGGCTTTTACCCCACAATGAGTTTTATCGATGTAAGGAAAAACCGTGTTTTTATTATATGTCAGAAATAAAACATCATCAACATAAAACAATCCATTTCACGAAGACAGCTAGTTTATGTATCAAAATGAAATTATCCTTTATCATTATACATTTCGTCTGTGAATTTGTGATAGATATTTTCTTTGTATAATGTTATTTTTTATCAAAAATATTAGTAGGCTTTAGTGCCTCATGGATTGAAAAAATAAATAAAATAAAATAATTACCTAAGTGGAGAATATAAAGGCGTCGCTATACCGTATCCCTTGCTATCCAGGTTCTCTCCTACTTTCATCGTATTACAAGGCTTCTTCTGTCCTTGGTAATTGTTAAGGGGAGACTCAAGCAGAAAAGCATACTTTCCTTTAGAATCCCTGACTTTTTGAATTCCTAAATGATTATGATCAACCATAACCCTGTCTGCGTTGGCATTCATGTACATCCACATTCTTTGGTATACAGGTACACGTGATTCCTAGACATGTTTTACATAAAAAGTACGTGTAAATATCATATTATATTATCTCAAATAAGTACATATTATGAACACGTTAAGTTAGTATATACGTCAATTGCTATATACACTGTACATAGATAGATATCATTTCTGTCTGTCACCCTGGTGAAATACTAGCTGTACTCTACATGTACCGACTCGGCATGGGAGACTTTCTCTTTAACTCGTTCGGCAGAGCTAACAGAGGTTTCAGGTTCGATTTCTAGCGTAGGCATTGGATACATACAGTGTAATAACTTCGCTGCATAGATACATCACAAATTGTGTTTTGAATACTCATAGTGTATTTAGGGGTGGATGCAAGGCGAACACACGTGATTGCACATTGATATTTGGAAATAGACAAAGTATGCCAAAAATAAATTACACTGCATCACTTAGCTGTTCTAGGACTCATCGGTGATGTAAGGTGTAAAAAAATGCGAGAACTTTTGTCTAAACGTTTGAAATAGAATAGGTGCAAAAACAACCCCTGAATGACATGTATTTCAAAATCAAAAGGAGAACCTGTCAATTGTATTAACTAATAATAGGTAAAAAGTATGTATAATACGAACCCTGCCAATACATGGTTGAGATAATCAGCTAAATATAAGTAAGTCCCTGAGGTTTGCCGTTACTTTGATAGCCACAGTAATTACTTTTGAGTAGTGACAATGTTCATTTTATATATACACTTAACTAATTGATTTACAATTATCATGTAATCCTCTTGGAAATTCATAAATAAAGGGTTTTTACGCACATTCCTTTCTTTTTCAACAATAGTTAACACTTACTTGGATTTCCAGCTTTTTGGCAAACCAAATTTTAAAACAGTGTGTTTAAAGTTCATCTATAGTGGTCAAGGGTATGATTGACTCTGCATTACCAGTTAGCATTACATTTATTCGTCAAACTAACACAAACCTTGAAGAATCTCTCCGTAGCTCCGCCCTGGTATGTCCCGTATTCAATTTCAGTTTGCTTAGCTAAGTCATCGGCACTCTTAATGGACGTCACAAGTCGCTCAATAGTCAAAAAGGCGGCAAGGTTAGCGGTATAGGAGGAAATCAATATCAATGTAAAGAACCACCAGGCACTACCAACTATTCTCCCGGAAAATGATCTAAGAAAATCAAAATATTTACAAATATATTTTTCGTAAAATGCATGTTGATGAAAAATTATCAAAGAAGCATACAAACATTCTTTTTAAATCATTTTATCTTTATACATTTTTTCTATAAATTATCAGGATTAGTTTTTTCTGTCATATGACCTAAATATTGCATGAATGCATCCAGGCCTTGATATTTGCCCAAGGTTGAAAACCAATAAAGGAACAACATCTAATACAAGATCAAATGCTTAAGTGTTTGGCGTTTCTTTACATACGATTCCTGTTGCAGTAAACTGTAGAAGCATACTAATCTATAAATCAGATATATCTTTTAAGAAATAGATTTTTTTACCCTTGAACATCTATCTTGTATATTTATGATTTGTTATAAAATTAAGCTCCATGAAAAAAAAATATATAGCTTTTCCGTCGTAGATATTCAAGAAAAAAGAATAACTACTTAATCATTTTCCGGTTACATTAGTTTATTTCCTTTTGCTTATTTTTATACCATATTGTCAATTTTTATATATATTCGCTTATTTACAGCTCACATTTTATACGTTTAACTTCACTTCGTTTGATTTTTTATTGTTTTACGTCCTTTAAACACCTATGCCCATCTAAGGGATGCCAGGTTTTGGAGGTGGATGAAAACCGGAGTACCCGGATGAAAGTCACTGATATTAAATACCTAACCAACATACGGATAGAAAAAAAAACGAAAGTTGTATGAGGTTTCCGGCATTATAAAATTATATCTGGATTGGACTTTTTAGATAGAAATATTACTATAGAAATATGGACTTTTATGATCGTGGATAATATGATATGAACATAAAATAATTATGTTGACCGAGGCGATGTCAAGGTTCATAAATATATTTTCAAATGCATATCTAATCATATTTACCTTTACAAAAAGTCCGTATCTGTTTAGTTATTTACCTTATAATAATAAACAATTAACAAAAAAATGTTTTCAACTTGACCGTTTTGGTGCGAGCTTTTCTGTCATGTTTAACCCCGGTTTCAAATTGTACACCAAGACTACGAAAAATAGTAATAGTGACCAGGACGTGTATCATATCCTTTTGATTTAAAAAGACTACAATTGTTTTTTAAGCTTTTTAAATTCTGTTTTATCAAACATTTGGTTATTGAAGGTTAAAGTCCACCGGATTTCTCTAAGGCTATATTTAGAGATCAATATTCACTGGAAAACCTGTCTACATGAGATTAAGAGAACTTTCCACACGTAAAGGACCAAGCCAATATATATTGCGAGAAAAGTTAAAATAAATAATCAAAAAATATATTTGATTTAGCAGTATTAAGTAAGTTTCAAATATAAGTTATTAAACGTGTAACTAAAAACGGTATTTACAAACTACATGCTGCATTATTGCGTCATTTAGTAACAACCCTGTAGGTTTATGAGTTGAATGGCCAAACATGTTCAATGTTGTCAGTTATGTAATTATGAAAAAGTGTGGATTTCATACCGGGTGAATGGAGATATTGGATCAGATGGGTCATTTCTATAATAAAATTTTACAGACACATTCATTCATCCACAAATACCCGTGTACAATTTACCACGGCTGTTACATTTTCCTTGCTCATGCAATCAAATGTGAGAAAAACATTAAGATATCAAGCAAAATGAAAATAGAGAAGATATTGTTTAGAAAAAGGACGCAGAGACGAATAAAAATTGCAATGTTAAAATTGAAATAAGGTTAAATATGCTTCAAAACGAAGTTTGATATATATCTACTACAGTAATCAAGCTGTACGAAAAAGACAAACTTAGCATTTTTAACATAATTTCATCTTTTTGTATTTTTACAAAAGCTAAATTTCATTATTTTGAAATGTAACTGTTAACGATTTTAACACAATATCTCTTAGGCAGAACCATTTGCTTGCTGTCGAGTCCCTCGTTTGTATAATTCATATTCAAGTAAGTTGAAAAGAACAGGTGTACAGTGTACACTTGAGAATATTATAACATGTCTCAAAATTAGTAAAAATGGTTTGTGATATACACGTATCTTAAATAAAATATTGAAATAAACAAAATATGCAATGATAAAACTTATAACAGACAATTTTAACAATATCTGTATGGTAAACAAAGATAGACATGTAAAATTATTTTTAAAAAATCTACACAAAATTCTTATAGGACAAATATAAAGCAATTTTCAAATAAATTAAATGTTATCATGTTAAATACGACCATAAACCATATGAAAATGAAACATGCATGCTCAAAGTGTGAGGGAAAATGTGAACTATTACAGGGAACAATTCAGTGCGTAAGAAAAACGATTTTAAAAAACTTTAAAATTCATTTCAAAATTTGGCCAAAGTTTTAACTGACAACATGGAACTAAGCACTTTTATATTTATCAATTTCTCTCAGGCTAAATATGGAACTATGCCTGCACCAACCTTGGGAATATATCAGATCCCTGCTGCATTAAAGCCCCTAATGAAAACCAAAGCGTATTTGAAAACGTAAAAGCATTTGTTGTAGTATGATCTTTAGAAGAGGTTTCTTCCTGCCATTCGTAAGGGCTCCATCTACCGACGAAAAACAGAACTAAGCTAACGGCCAGAAATGCTATCATGACGCAGATCCAGACGAGGTTCGATAATGGGCTCATAAAGGAAAACACTCCTGGCTTCTGTTTGTCGGGCTTCTTGATCATTATACTGATTCCAAGCTTCATAAATGGCTTTGTAAAGTCTACAACCCTCTCTCTTTCTTTGTTTATCGTCAAGGAGGCGAGTGCCAGATCCGCCGTCTGCAGGTATACATGAATAAAGAGTATGTTTAATATGCCGGTGTACACAATATAGGGTTTAAGATTGATAAGATATACCCATTAACGTAACAGATAGTATTAACAAGATACATGGATCGCCAACTCACTAGTGATCTCCAATCAAGTTAAATGTATGTTTGATATTTTCCTAGATACAATTTCATTTTCTAGCAGTTTATGATGGGTGTGTTTTAAGAATCCCTATTTAAATTGATAATATGAGACCACATTTAAAATGCTGTTCAATTAGATACATGTACATGTATTGTTTTTGAAACACAGTTCCGCATAAGGGAAATATGACCGGAGAATGTGAGGTCGACACGAGTTTTCATTGCCATGTCATGTGTTCAATAATCGAAGACAACACGCGGTTATTTAGGTGAGGAATATTAAAAAACGATATATATATAAATATATTCGAAAATAAAAGCTGAACTCGTCTATTTGATCAGTGTATAACACTCCATGAGTTCCAGCCAAAAGGACTTTTCACTTCCGGGGTAATACAACATTTTGTCTTATAACAGTGTCAAGACTTTGTATTGCACAGCCTCAATACAGACTGTCAAACTATACTAAGATTCACAGGTGTGTAATAAATGTTAGATACGGAGGATGTGAAACAGTTCTTCTTTCCGTCACAAGTTCCAACACATATGTATTCATTCATTTATTCATTAATCTTTTGATTTTTTGAGCTAAATGTGATTACATGAAGTCCCGTTTTCTCAAAATCCCTCAATGTCTTTGTTTATAATAACAATCATGTCAAATAAAAATCGATATGTTGGACCCTCTATATATATATATAAATATAAGAATGAACAAACTTACGTGATCAATCAGTTCCCCGATCAAACCATTCCATTTGTGAGTGGTTTCATTCACACTGCCAAACTTATCGTTTAAATGTATCGTATACTCGAAGTCTTCGTCGAATTCTTTTTTGTATCTGTGTTTCACCTTTTCAGCTACGTCTATACAGTAACCTTCAAGCCTCCTGTTACCAATCATTGGCGCATTGCTATTTTCTCCGTTTTCAGTTGATGAAGCAAATTGGACGAACGGAACCTCCTACAAAAGCACAAAATACAAATACCATAAACATCTACATCAATATCCTTCATTTGGATTTCCAATTCTCTGCGGTTGTACAGCGGAGGTATTCAACTGATTCTCAGAGTTTTACATTAGTTTACTGTAATCGATGAGTCATGCATGACAAAAAAAAAAGATAAATAGTTGTTAAATATTAAGAATAAGTCAGTAATATATATAATTTGTTTTATGAATACAGGCAGACCACCATGGCAATTTTCCGTGTTTGCATTTAATGTTGGCGCTGTTGGCATACTTTTACTGGTTGTAGTTATGAGATGGACAATAAAATTCTCTTCATGTGATTTTGTATTTTTCTTAAAATTTGTTCTGACACAATTCGTCGACCGTTTCATAATGAGTTAAATTGTAAAAATATGTAAAAAAAATAAGTTTGATCTTCCCTCGAATCTTAAACACGAATATGATTTCTTTTTACAAATTGATAAGAAAACACTTAAGCTATTTGATTATTTTGTTCCTTTTGGCAAGTTTGCTTTATTTAAGCAATAAACTGCATAGATGTGGCAGACCAACTGGTATAACTGCCACATGTGTCACAGACAAACTGAATGGTGCGCGCTAGTGCACCATGATAAGTTTGTCTGTGACACATGTGGCAGTTATACCAGTTGGTCTGCCACATCTATGCAGTCTTTTGCTTAAATAAAGCAAACTTGCCAAAAGGAACAAAATAATCAAATAGCTTAAGTGTTTTCTTATCAATTTGTAAAAAGAAATCATATTCGTGTTTAAGATTCGAGGGAAGATCAAACTTATTTTTTTTACATATTTTTACAATTTAACTCATTATGAAACGGTCGACGAATTGTGTCAGAACAAATTTTAAGAAAAATACAAAATCACATGAAGAGAATTTTATTGTCCATCTCATAACTACAACCAGTAAAAGTATGCCAACAGCGCCAACATTAAATGCAAACACGGAAAATTGCCATGGTGGTCTGCCTGTATTCATAAAACAAATTATATATATTACTGACTTATTCTTAATATTTAACAACTATTTATCTTTTTTTTTTGTCATGCATGACTCATCGATTACAGTAAACTAATGTAAAACTCTGAGAATCAGTTGAATACCTCCGCTGTACAACCGCAGAGAATTGGAAATCCAAATGAAGGATATTGATGTAGATGTNTATATTTCGTGATAAACACGATATATAAATGGCAGTGCAAAGAATATCACTACATTTACTTGCATTTTGATCTAATTTCAATGTTTAGTATTGTCCAATATAGGGAATGACGAGCGATTAACAGGTGCCTATGGTGACAACGCCAGAAAATAGTTTGGGAAGAAAGTACTCAAAATTTAACAGGAAAGCTAGTTAGCGAAGAAGATCACAAATGTTGGAACAGGAACAGCAGATCAGATTTGGTATCTTCCATACCTCTTTGTAAAAGTCACGGAAGAAAACCCCGATTCTTTGGGGGCATAAACCACACCAGAAGTTTTTTTGCGATTATACAGTATTGCAGGCCTACTATTTCTGGAACCTACATTGATTTTGGTATTCAAAGATGATCTGGCAAAATCAAGCAGGTCATATGAAGTAATATGAGGCATGTAAGATTTACAGTAACTGGGTTCCAAAGAGTGAGATCATATTGCACCAACACACCTTTTCCATTTGAACATGCTGTTTTAATGTCTAATACAGCACCTTACCTGTATCGTTACGATCCGCCAAGTTCTATTCTTTGATGTTTCATGGCGAGGCACAGTAACCGGTGACTTGAGATGGGTTTGAAAACGAAGATGCGGCGGACCGTTTGGAGACCAAGTCCCGACCTTTATATTGAAATAGACATGTATATGCATAAAAAACAACTGTAGTAAGTATTATGCATACAATATATAAAATACTTAAAATTACAAAATCGAACTCAAAATCTGCATAGGAAATAACAAATTGAAATGCCGAGATGTCTTAACAACAAAGAGATATCGTGAATCCGACATTTGGTTCCAGAAAGATTATAACAAAAAAATGATTTAAATGTAAAAATATTAAATTGGAAGCTAAATAAGTAAGACAGATAACTTGATTGATATGCAGAGATAAATATTGAAGAGCTCAATATACTCCATCTGAGTTGATATACTGTAATTGAAAAAAAAAAAAGTGAAAAATTTCGAAACTTTTTTTTTGTCTTGTTTATACTCATAAACACAACTATTTACATTTTAGCAACAGTATTTTAAGTACAAAAATTAATCGGTGCTAGACCCGGATTATAACACCGGACTTTATATCACCATATACTGTCGGTCTTACCAAATGATCTACATAATCAACGGAAGTGCCCTTGCCCAACACTCTGCTATAGCGATGTCCATTACGAAATTAAGGGGAGGTTACTATAAATACGAAAACTTGCAGTGCAGTAGGACAGGGATCCTTAACGTATCATTGGACTAACTGTCATCTCTACCTTATCCAGGTGTTTCTTGTACTCTAACTGGTGCACGTCTAGGGTGTAGTCTGTACGCATGCCCTTCTCATCAAACGCCAGTGTCCCTGTCAAACTTTCGTCAGCACGAAGTCGTGTCTGGGAATAAATAATTGTGTATAGGCAATCAATGATGAATTCCATCTAAGGTTGACAAACGCACACACAGAACAAGCTACTGTTCATTAATATAAATTTCTCATGTCACAAAAATTATATTGAATTGATGTTAAATTTAGCAATGCTAAAATATGTTGTTGTTTTCAATTTGTACACAAACGTAGTATTGTGTATGGGCAATCAATGATGAATTCCATCTAAGGTTGACAAACGCACACACAGAACAAGCTACTGTTCATTAATATAAATTTTTCATGTCACAAAAATATATTGAATTGATGTTAAATTTAGCAATGCTAAAATATGTTGTTGTTTTCAATTTGTACACAAACGTAGTTAAGTGTAAATGATACAAGTGAAGTTAATTGTCAGTGCAGTGTAACGGAGTCAATAAGCTGATACACACATCCTTGTACGATTTTTGGTGGTGCTTTTCCTGTTTCATACCACGTGACCTCCTACTTATGTAGTAAAGTTGTGGTCTTTGTAAAATTGAGGTATAGATAGAAATGCATATACCTACTACGGTACAGTGTATATATAAAAAAAAAAAAAAAAATGAAGAAAGGCGATTTTATATGAAATACAATGTAGATGTAAGGAGACATCATCTTGTCTCGAGAACCGATAAAGGTTTGTTTTATGTTTCTTCGTTGAAAATACAAAAACAAATGAGAGGTCAAAGAGACAACAAATTGATCAGCATGTCCTGTTAAATAATTAGTACTTGTTTAACTGATTACCCCTTAGCTGGCGAGGGTACAAAAATAGGACATGTGGGGCGAAATGTAAGTAAACACAGCATATGTTTAACGTGTAAAGAACAAAAATGTCAACTGACATATATAACAGTGTCTACATTTCCCTTAAATCCCTTCAATCGGTGAAAATACGAACTCGCAATAATTGAAAATCTATAACTTAACCTTAACATTTGTTGTTATTATATCCAAAACATTATTCCTGAACGTACATTTTTATCTTTATTTGTTAAAACATACATTTTGGCTCAATGAAGCATTTATTCCAGTTCCTACGTTGAAACAAGCGAAACATAAGCATTGGCCATTTTAATCTAAACACATGAGTAATTTGTACAAATGTGTAGATCAAGTATCAAATTTTCATAACAAAGTACAGCAAAAGTATAAACCCGAAACCAAATTATTGGAACTCACCTCCCGGAATATTCGCATAACCTGTTCCCGTTCCGCTCTACCGGAACCTCCCCGTCGCCCCGCCCTTCCGCTTCCGGAGAAGTGTAAATATCGATTGGAAGTACAACCTCGTTTGTGAAGAGCTAAATTTCCATTCATTTCACGTTTTACCTGATCAAACCCTTCATGTATCAAATTCAGGGTGTCGATCACGAGTGCCTGCTTATACTGTCAAAAGAAAAATAATACAAATAATTTAAAATCTGGTACAACATGAAGTGTTTTGATTGTGTGATTTTGAACAAATGGTATCTTAGTGATTTACTTATATATAATGATTACATATTTTCAATAATAGTACTGAGGAGTATTGTCTATAATAAAGCATTAGTATAATGCAAGTTTTTTAACCCAACAAAAATCTCCAACTACTGTCTCTCCATTCTATTGCCACCTCGCTTACCGCCAACACATGTCAATGTCGTCTCTTTTCCGCCATTAACACTACATATGTTCCTACAGATATATCACCGAATCGCATAATGCTAAACTTTGTTCTGACGATACGTTACGAGGTTTTACTTTAAGATTAAATTCATCAAGTTTAAATGAGAATAATGCGATCAAATTTTATCACAATTCTCAAAAAAAGTGTATTGGCGACAATCTTAACATTGTTCATGACTGCATGTAATACTATACTGATAGAAATGGGGGTTTTGGTGGGGTTTTTTAAGCGTTTGCATACCAGTCTTAAATACAAACCGATACTTAATTACGTTTTTTCTACGTCAAATAGCATCAAACTAATGGCAGCAACTCATGTTTTAGTGCTGTGGCCTTGATGCTTTTTTCATATTTCATTTGTATAGATTTAGTTGCAAGGAATAGTTGTAAAATATGAAAATGCTCAGTATATCATATCTCAAAGTGTATATGGAGACCCTAGCCACTAGAAAGTATTACAGCGCATTTTTTTTTTTAAAGAAGGGCTTTCGTTGTCCTTTTCTCTCATGTCATTTTTCAGGTCAGATAAAGAAGAAATGAAAACTTCAGCAATGGTTCATACAGAGGACTTACCAAGACTAAGTGTTTATTGTATAAAGAAGACTTACCAACAAATTGGGTGTATTCGGATAGAGGTTGAAGTAAAGTTCTTTATTCCTGTTACGTAACTCCGTGTATGACGCCGCTGCCGTATTGATGACGGTGAAACCAGTAATATTGACACCGCCGTACTCAAATTGGGCCAGGTCAAGCTCGTCTATACCCTATGTAATAAACTATAGACTATTTAACAGGTATACAATATCCTTCACAACAGAACTAATTTATACAATTTTGTACGTCAGCTTGTAAAGACGTCATTAGGACAGAAACCACTTCCACATCAGTGTTTTGTAATAGGATAAACAATTTTTCTATCCATACCGATGTTTTGACTTAGAACATGATATGACACCTTTTTAACTTTATACATGTAATCACTATAAATAAACATTGTATTATTGTTGACCATATTTTGCTTTAATTCTAATACATGTGTGACACCAACTGTCATCATATACAGCAATCATAAAAAATGTATTCAATATGTTACTGAGTAATGCAATATATAAACTATGTGCAATGTATTCTTTTTAGTGTGTAACGCAACTTCACAGTGTTTTAAACTGTGCATTCCGTGATTAAAGATATAACAAATTACCAGTTACATGTATATGTATCAGTTAACTGTAAACCAAATCCCAGTCATAAAAACAACTTAAAACGTCTGTACATGTATGTGTTTCTGTCTATCTGTCTGTATGTGTTTCTGTCTACCTGTCTGTATGTGTTTCTGTCTACCTGTCTGTATGTGTTTCTATCTACCTGTCTGTATGTGTTTCTGTCTATATGTCTGTATGTCTTTCTGTCTGTCTACCTGTCTGTATGTCTTTCATTCTATCTGTCTTTCTGTCTATCTGTCTGTATGTCTTTCTGTCTATCTGTCTGTCTGTCTTTCTGTCTATCTGTCTGTATGTCTTTCTGTCTGTCTACCTGCCTGTATGTATTTCGGTCTATCTGTCTGTATGTCTTTCTGTCTATCTATCTGTCTGTCTATCTGTCTGTATGTCTTTCTGTCTATCTGTCTGTATGTCTTTCTGTCTGTCTACCTGTCTGTATGTCTTTCTGTCTATCTGTCTGTATGTCTTTCATTCTATCTGTCTGTATATCTTTATGTCTGTCTACCTGTCTGTATGTCTTTCTGTCTATCCGTATGTATGTCTTTCTGTCTATCTTTCTTTCTGTCTATCTGTCTGTATGTCTTTCTGTCTGTATGTCTTTCTGTTTATCTGTCTGTATGTCTTTCATTCTATCTGTCTTTCTGTCTATCTGTCTTTCTGTCTATCTGTCTGTATGTCTTTCCGTCTATCTATCTGTATGTCTTTCTGTCTATCTGTATGTATGTCTTTCTGTCTATCTGTCTTTCTGTCTATCTGTCTGTATGTCTTTCTGTCTGTCTGTCTGTATGTCTTTGTCTGTCTATCTGTCTGTATGTCTTTCTGTCTATCTATCTGTATGTCTTTCTGTCTATCTGTCTTTCTGTCTATCTGTCTGTATGTCTTTCTGTCTATCTGTCTGTATGTCTTTCTGTCTGTCTACCTGCCTGTATGTATTTCGGTCTATCTGTCTGTATGTCTTTCTGTCTAACTATCTGTATGTCTTTCTGTCTGTATGTCTTTCTGTCTATCTGTCTGTCTGTCTTTCATTCTATCTGTCTGTATATCTTTCTGTCTGTCTACCTGTCTGTATGTCTTTCTGTCTATCCGTATGTATGTCTCTCTGTCTATCTGTCTTTCTGTCTATCTGTCTGTATGTCTTTCCGTCTATCTATCTGTATGTCTTTCTATCTATCTGTACGTATGTCTTTCTGTCTATCTGTCTTTCTGTCTATCTGTCTGTATGTCTTTCTGTCTGTCTCCCTGTCTGTATGTCTTTCATTCTATCTGTCTTTCTGTCTATCTGTATGTCTTTCTGTCTGTCTATCTGTCTGTATGTCTTTCTGTTTATCTGTCTGTATGTCTTTCATTCTATCTGTCTTTCTGTCTATCTGTCTTTCTGTCTATCTGTCTGTATGTCTTTCTGTTTATCTGTATGTCTTTCTGTCTGTCTACCTGTCTGTATGTCTTTCCGTCTATCTATCTGTATGTCTTTCTATCTATCTGTATGTATGTCTTTCTGTCTATCTGTCTTTCTGTCTATCTGTCTGTATGTCTTTCTGTCTGTATGTCTTTCTGTTTATCTGTCTGTATGTCTTTCATTCTATCTGTCTTTCTGTCTATCTGTATGTCTTTCTGTCTGTCTATCTGTCTGTATGTCTTTCTGTCTATCTTTATGTATGTCTTTCTGTCTGTCTACCTGTCTGTATGTCTTTCCGTCTATCTATCTGTATGTCTTTCTGTCTATCTGTATGTATGTCTTTCATTTTATCTGTCTTTCTGTCTGTCTGTATGTTTTTCTGTCTGTCTACCTGTCTGTATGTCTTTCCGTCTATCTATCTGTATGTCTTTCTGTCTATCTTTATGTATGTCTTTCTGTCTATCTGTCTTTCTGTCTATCTGTCTTTCTGTCTATCTGTCTGTATGTCTTTCTGTCTGTCTACCTGTCTGTATGTCTTTCTGTCTGTCTACCTGTCTGTATGTCTTTCTGTATATCTGTCTGTATGCCTTTCTGTCTGTCTACCTGTCTGTATGTCTTTCTGTCTGTCTACCTGTATGTGTTTCTGTCTATCTGTCTGTATGTCATTCTGTCTGTCTACCTGTCTGTATGTCTTTCTGTCTATCTGTCTGTGTGTCTTTCTGTCTGTCTACCTGTCTGTATGTCTTTCTGTCCATCTGTCTTTCTGTCTATCTGTCTTTCTGTCTATCTGTATGTCTACCTATCTGTGACACAGTTCAAACCATACATTCTGAATGAATAGTGTCGTCTCAAAACCGAAAACATTGACTAAACACGTGAATTATGTTTCTAACATTGTACTGACGTCTGTTAAAATCTACGCTTCGTGAAATGGTCTTGTGTTACCAGTGATATCAATATGGTAAGAATGAAACTGAATACAGTTCAATGCTTATACACGTATACAAATTTTGTAGCATGTTATGATAACAAAAGCGTATAAAGACTGCAAATTCTATGCAGAATAAATAAAGTTATTTTAACAATGTAACACGTTTTACGTTTTACAGTAAATATCGTTTATTCTCGTATCAGTTTGCTAGGCTTTAACATTTCTTTGATTCTCAATAAACGGTTATGATATAATACGTTATCATATTAAATTTCTGTGTACATTTATGAAATTCCAATGGATTTAATTTTAATAAAAAATACATAAGGTTATAGAATTACGATAATGAATACAAATATGTTATACTTACCAACCCGCCTATTATATAGTGGTAAGAATCTCTATTCATTCCAACGTTTATAATCTGAAAAATACATTAACAACAACTATGCTTTCAACAGAGCTAGTTGGAATTTCAACGCTTGCAACAGGTTAGCTGTACGATTTTACTTTGAGTTGTCTTTGATCTTATTTCCTTTAGTTTTATTTCAGGAGTTATTGTCTCTTCTCTCATCCCTCCACTAGATCATGGCTCTAAACCAACTTTTTTGTTTTGACGAGCCGTTTAACCTTGAACAAATAAGCATTTCTCTATAGTCACCGACATCATATACTGCAAAGGTGGACAATTTTCGCGTTGTGAAAATATTCGCTTTGAATAAATAAGCGCGAAAATAATCACACCCGATTATTTATTTGTAGTTAGAATATTTAAAATTCAGAACTATAACTAACACGAACATTTGTATCAAGTTAAAGGGTCACAACGCGAACATTTTAACGTGCAAAACCTTTCTCTTTCACGGTATTTTATTACTGATTCAGTTATATGCATTGGCGTATTGTTTTATTATGTGGTAATACAAGACACTTACATGTAAGTTAATCCAATTTCCCAAAATGAAAATATTAAGAGAAGATGCAGTATGTTATATTATAATTATTCAAGAAAGTTCTTGTAAATATGCTGACTTAAACCATGCAGTATGTACATTGTAAGATAACGCTGTTTTACATTTAGCGTTAAAAATACAATAAAAGAGATTATGGTCAGATTATACCTGTTCTAGGGTTTTATTATAAGCTTGTTTTGACGACAGGTCTAGGACAATTCTCTTGGCCATTGCAACCTCCAATTCAGCGTCCGCCCTATCCAGCGATCTCAGTAACTCGTAACAATCTGATACATTTGTTATACGACGTGGTCGGATGGTAAATCGGAGGGTTTTACTTAGGCCTTCGGCAACACCGTACAGGTTTTGAAGACGCTGCAACCCTTTAGTTAAAATTAGAAACAAAAGCATCTTCTTATGCTGTGAATGAATGTGTTTGCTTATACTTTATTTCGCGAACTAATGCCTGTATCTTTTATATGCAACAACCATAATATTCAAGTAAAATTATTAAAGCAAAATTGATATTAATTATGTATCTAATTATTCTTTTCTAGAAATTTTAAATTTCAAATTGGTCTCATTGCGAAGTAACCCGAGAATATTTGCTCTGAATAATTAGTTGATTTACAGTTTTTAGAATTTTTTAAGAAATTTGTCGTTATTAAAAAGATATAAATCCTCACCTTAATTGACAATTGTTTATATATATGGAGCAGTTTTGACTTGCAACATGAGATCGAAACAATTGTGTTGTTACACTGGAGGAAAAGGATGTACTTTGTTTCGATTTGCTGAAATAATTTTGCAGGTTTATAAAAGAAAAATTCTATACTTCAACGCAGAAAGTAAACATGGTCATCATAGCCGAAACGAAAAGTAATTTCAACAACAACAGGAAGGTAACTATCATCAAACCAATCGGAAAACACAAAGTAAATCTTCACAAGTACATTTATTGAGTAGTTTTGAAATTGGTGAATTAAATAATAATTTATAATAAATATTCAAGGTTTTTAATCAATATATACCTTCGTCGGAGTCAAAAATATAGTAGAGCATATCCCATCCGTAGAAACGTGCTATGTCCATTATGGCTAGTATGTAGGACGGCATCATGTTGATCTGGTAACGCTGTTCTGTACTAGAGGTGTTACCAAGGGCCGTCGGCAGAAATAAAGGAAGCATCACATTCTCGTTTTGGACCAAGGATCGAACAATATCTTGACTCGACTCAGGACCAAGGATAACAATAGCATGTACAGGCTTCTTCTCGATCGTCTGACATACTGAAACAGGGCAACAATAATGTAAGGTATAACTAACAGTAGTGTTTATTAAGGTGAAAAAAACTTTCGGTGTAAATTAAATAACACTTAGTCACAGATTTAAATATGGCAAGTTTTATGTACACTCCAAACAAGCCTGTAAATCGTATACCAGATGATCGAAGGCTGGTTTACTGATATTGACCAACTGTCGATTAGGGTAGAGTACACATGTATATATATCTATCATTTAATCAGGTCCATATAACCACATATAGACGAAAACGTCATTGTAATATTAAATACTAAATAGTGTTTAAATCTTTCAACAAAGTATTTACCAACTGTTTCTAAAAATTGTAACACCAGAGTCAATATCACAAATCGCAAACCACCACGTGATTATGAAGCAACATATGAGGATGTTGGGAAAAAATATGCGTCATCTAATATTTATATATATCTTGGCCTAACATTTAAGTCATATAGGTGAAACGTACATCTATGTGATTAACTTACTGTTCCCTCAATAATATACGCATGATACACGTATGTTGCCAAACAATATTCATCGATCGCTACTGTTGAATATTAACGAGCGTATCTGAAGATGTAACCCCTAAATCAGTATAAAGTCCCACTTACCACGCCAAGTGCCATTAAACTGTTAATGTTTTATCCATTACTTAAGTGATTTTAGGAATATTGGCATAATGATGAGTTATAATTCCTATAAGTTAGACAGTTATAAATTGAAATCAAATATGTAATTACTATGCTACATTGTAATGTGTATCCTTAGTTTTCGTTGTATATAAAACCATACACAAATATGGGGTTTGAACAGTTGATCTATTACATGCCTAAAACCTTACATAATATTGAAATGTCTAATTCCTCATACATATTGTCTTATCTCCCCGTTATTTTGAGGTTATTCAGTGAAGTCGAGGACTATTGGGACACGTGATTTTGGGATTCCACTGATATTTTGGAACAGTTCCAGACTATTGATTCTAAGGGTGTACGTTCAACATTTTATGACTCCTAGTAGTGCTGAAAAGCGAAGCGCCCGGTACAACAACATCAACCATAAAAAATGCCAAATACCCCGACAAAAGGACTGGTTAATGTTAACTTTGGTAAACTCCAGAATACTCGAGGGAATTCTTACTATAATAAATAAAAGCTTCCAATAATTGACGAAGAGTATGCGTCTGCTTTGCTCCCCTATGAATGCTTTACCTAACCAAGACCTACTAGATTTAATAGAGAAGTGAGTCATAGGCGGACAAAAACTAACAATAGCAGAAACACCAGAGTACCCAACGAACAAATCATGTGAACGTTTACTTATAATTTATATCTTAAAGTACACGTCCCATAGGAGTTCCATCCGGAACAAGACTATAGTTCAGTATAACTGAATTGCCTTTTGAGGATATACTTTTATTGTGACCCGTTTAGTTAAATTGAAAGTTGTCTTCAATTCAAACACTACTAAACTTCGGAATCTAAAACGCAATGACAATTCGTATGGAATGTTTAAGTTATATAGGCGCGGAATTATACCAGTCAAAATACTCTGACATTTGAAAACAGCATTTGACATTTGGGATCTTACATGTATGCTTATCAAGTACTTTTCTTTTGACTCTTTTGCTAGAATTAACAGAAATTAATTTCAAATGAAATATTTAGTTTACTTGCTTCCCGTACATTTTTGCAAGACAGCGTAACTGTCTCTCAGATCCACTTCGATCTTGGTTCCATCAAACGACACATTCGAATTTAAGTTGCGCTCATTGATGGATCTCACTGTATACTCCAGGGCGGTCTGTAGTTCGTTAAAGTCTTCCGATTCGGTGTGTTGGATGACGGCTGAAACAAAGAAGAATATCATTCAACGATTAACAAGATAACAAGGAAATACCTAAGTGTAAACAAAACTATAATTCACACTTAAAATCGATTAACAGGAACAAACTAAGAACAAAGTGAAAATAGGAGACCCTTGAAAAAGTCCATGGAGATAAGTTGTTTCTGATTGTTTAGCATCTTCTGTTCAATCGATGGCATCCGTCATGTCAATTTATGTTAATTGAAAGGAATTTCATGTTCTCAAAGTTGAAACCAGGGTAATGACAAATATAACAAAAATATAAGCATGTTTATTATTTAGATTTATTTTAGTTAAATCTGGTGATATTTTTGTTAATACTAATGTTCCTATTTTTTCAGTATGACCAAGATATTTTAACGCGCACACATTTGATGTCGAAAATATAATCGATGATTACGAAACTCCAGTTGGCATAATTTACTGAGACCGGAATAAACGCTCAAATTTAATATATATCAAATAAATGCATTTCCAATATTCATATAGTATATGCAATGAAAATAATCGATAACTGTTTGTTAAATAGTTGTATGAGATAATATTAAGGAGGAATAAACACTCACTACCAAAAACTCTTTAAGCAATTCCCAATTTTCAAAGGATATTATGATTGTTTTATCTGAAATATGTTGTAACTAACTTGTGCCCATAACTAGTTTTATAGAATACTTTGGCCGAGGTTTGGAAAAACCCTCAAACTGAAGGTGTGCTCAATGTTAACCAAAAACATCATTGTAGCCACGTATGTTCTATGGACGCATACATGGTTTTGTCATATTGTCTATTAACAAGTATGTGACCGCTTTGGAAGCAAATTGAGTTGCTCTGAATACATAGCAATACACATTCAAGGTGCTAAAAGGAGTAACACACCGACAATGAATAATATTGGTCATTACATAAACTACCATTTAAGCTGGCGCCAGTAATGGAAATAGACTGGAGTATGATATGTAGGCATCCAATTTAAGCATTTAAGAAGTACACAAACACATTCCCATATGCTGCAAAATGTAAAAATATTTTATTCTTTATCATAATATAATAACATATTAAGGATTACCTCAAAAGAGTATATCGCATCATTTGTTTAAAAAATATATATTGTCTCATATTTTGAATCTATATCTTAGTTTTATTTAGAGACAATACAGAACACTTTTATTAGATTATAAAATCACTTAACAATAACCTGCACTGTGTGCATATTTCAGTAAAAGTGCCAAATAACCAAGCAATGCTTTTATTCTAATTTCAAACCTGATGTTTGCCAGTTATATAACATCTGACTTGTCAACGAAGATGGTCAGATGATATTGACAATACCATGACGCAGTTTAACGCATTGTGAGTTCAAAACTCCCTATCAGAGAAAGTTGTAGAGTAAAAGCCTTCCTCTCATGAAACGTCATACATATTATACTCATATAAAAGCGTAACTTCTTCGTTGATCGTGTCTCATATACTGATTGAATGTACCAATTTATGACTGATTCGAGAAAAATATTAAGGTCCTGATAGGACAACATTGTTATTAACAATCCATCTTTTTCATTTTTTTTTTAGTATTCAACGTAATATTGCTTTGTACCATAGGATTTTTACTCTTAATTTTCGTTTTCGTAAAAATATATATCCCAAAATGAATATCAAATTAATCCAATTTACTCCTGAAATCTGCAAAATAAGAGACCTCGAAAACAAGATGTTGTATACAATACAAAAATGAACTATGTTGTGTTCTATATACAGGTTTTAACTTCTTGCCATTTTGTTTCTTGTTGAGTATTAAGTTGTGTACGTGCTATTTTTTATTGCTTTCTGGCTCAATATATTTTTACTGTTGGGAACAGTAATCAACTAATCAAATAACAATCAAAGTGTAGTGCACACAGTGGAACTGTTTATTCTCATTTATTCAGAAGATCTAAATAATTTGCCTCTAAATTGCTATATTTACGTTTACTTCATGAAACAAAAATGAATACTATGTACATTGGAAACCAAACTTTTTATCTATAAGTTCTAACCTGAATGTGCGTGATCATTTATTGTGTCTTTATTTTTCAATTGAGCAAAATGATTTCTGTCAGAATGATTGTCATACATATATGTAGCTTTATAAATTAGGTCGAAAAGCCGAATTCCAAATCACAGTGTAGCGGAGGTAGCGAACACTATAAAACAACCGTAGCGCATCCTTCTCCACGGAAATATGTTTCTACGAGTTCCATTGCCTGTAATCTCTATTCTTCGTCAAAACATTCTCCTTTGTTTTCCATATTACTATCATTTACCTATTTATGAGTCCACAAAATGATTTAGGTCATTGTCAGATTAATTTCATGAATTGTTATACAAAACTAATGTTGTGTTACTAGTTTATGTTACATTTAAAGCAGAGGTGAAACCGATTACATAAACTATTTGGTCTAAACCTTCAGCACCCCTACAAGTACTTGTATCTAGTCTAAATATGATGAACTATGCAAGTACATTTAACCCCAAATAACATTCTCTGTATGTTTTTCAATTTTGTCAATAGGTTGATGTAATTTTGGAAGCATTTTGCTGTAAGATGATGATATCAGAGAAATTGTAACGTTTTTGTGTCAATCATTTTCATTTTGTAAGTGTAACGTAAGCTAACATAAATCAAGTGCATAACAATATAATTTATCAATATAAAGAATTATTTAAACAATCTTCATCACCAACGTGTTTGCAAATATTGTTGTATGTATTCTTACACTCAAGCATCAAATTGATTTGTGTAATCTTGATCTCCAAAGCACTTGTAAACACACTGCTTTAATGTCTTGGTATTCAAGCAGCATCTAGATATCGATGTCGCACTCGTGCAAACAAATTCAGCGAGCTGTTTATCCTACAGATCAATCTATGGGGATATCTGTGGCAGCCAGCCCCATTACCGCGTTTGAAGCTTCTGTGTGTAAATAATTTCATTTTAGAGGAGAGAGAAAATCGATAATGTCCGCTCGTTATTTTCTTTTGGTAAATTACAACTTTCTTCCCTAGACCTGCTGTTTTAATTCAATGATTGCACTGGAGTATCATATGTGCTTTGGTGATAAACGGTGATTACGGCTTCCACAGAAATTCAGCAGGATGGATGAAAATGTTGTCCATACCATATCATCAACAACAGAACAACCGTTGTGCCGTATCAGTTAAAGCATATGTTAGGCCTTAAAAGTATACTCTTGCTTGGCGTTGTCATAGAAATGTGAGAATATTGACAGTTAGTTGTCATCTTGCAATGTGAGAACTATTCATTATGATCTCAGCTAAAGTAAGGCAAAGATTGACAGACCAATACAAGAAGTAAGATAGTTACACGCCGTTTTATGTAATAAACCAGCATCTATAATTTTGACATGTCTTAGAATTTTCAGAAATGCTACATCCTTAAGGTATTCCGAAGGCATGTTATTATCTTAACTTGCAATTTACGTATGACGTATGCGTAGTCAGTATGGACTTATCCCTCAATATATGTATTCAACTTACATTTTAATAATAAAAAAAGTTGTGTCTGTACCAGTTTGCAGAAAAAACGAAGGTCATCATGAACGTGCATAAAAGTAGATCTGGATATTTTGAACAAATGACTATACAAACATGTGCTTGATAGCCACTCTTATGTCTATGTCGTACTGACATGGTACATTACATACACACTTCATTATTAATTTCAAATTAACCTGTGCTCCTCTATTTTAAGTGAATTTCATATAAGTAAGAGGGTTTGCGCACCTCTCCTCCGTTTCAACAGTAGTTTATGGATTTTCGGCCCCTAGAATTACCATAAATGAGTCATATAAAGAGGAAACAGCTGTATGTACAGTTTAATTCATTTTCAGCATACTGTATCTATTTACAAATTGCATAGGCATAATTACATAAGTGTGTGACTTACGGTCATCTTTCAATATTTTCCAATTATTTACGTCATATGCATACAGTCAGTAACATGACTGACATATCGTGTATTTGACATAACAATCTATTGATTCCCAAAATAAATTATAGGAAGTTCTGTCTAGCATGCAACCCTATCGAGTTTAATTCATTTCCAGCTGATGTGTTAGAGTAGGCGGCTATGGAAAGTTATAAGATGATAGAGGGATTTCAAACGAATCCCTTGTGAAATTGAACCACGGCATCTGCGTATGATGGACGGAGCTAGGAATATACAGTCTCTGTTACAACGCTGCTGAAGTTCACACAACAGTGACAGACTGCTTGGGTCACTTGTCTAGCCTTCTTGAGAAGCCTGCTGTGTCTTTTGTATATTGAAAATGGACAGCAATGTTGAACGTAATAGGCAATTTCGTATTTTAAACACATTTCGCGCGATAAAGACGTACATTACCGCTTATATCAAACCCTTATTAGATCAAATGTGTGTTTGTGAAGACTGAGCATGGTGCCTGAAAGCAATCCCCTAAAGACTTACGTGTTTGCGAGGAAAGCCATTTGTTATTGCGTTTGGTTTCCCAATGAGCACAAACGAGTCCTCTTACAATTTGCGGATAGGCAAGTTAATGTTTCGGAATAGAGGTCGAACACTACATTGTACGCTAAGGAAATTGAGCAGAAGATGGTGAAGTGCTTTGAGTTATTGCCTCCGTGATGCCGGCGATACTAGCTTAATCCAGTAGGTTGGTCACGAGCGAAGCACTCAGGTTATATACACCACAGTCATAAACAGTAATGAAGTGAAAAACTGAACTGGTTTGATTTTTCCCATTTGCAATAAAGCACAACATTGTAATCCTACATGAGGCTGCGAACAGCTTACTATCTTTCCTTATTGTATCTTGGAAAAAACGTGACATAAAACAGTGTTTGTTATGTAAACAAATTAAAGAATCATATAAAAGAGCTAACTTAATGCTGAAAATAATGCACTGATTTTCAAAACTAACTGTTGTTTATTAAGAAGACATAGTGT